ATATGGCATTTGATTTAATATTTATAACTATACTATGAGACATATGCAATATTATTATCCTATTTTTTATAAGTCATATACTGGAGAGATTAAATAATTTCACCAAGGTCACATTGCAATAGATGACAGAACTAGGATTAGAATCCAGGCCACATGATCACTCCACTCAAACTTTTATACTTGACTGCATGACTGCATTGAGAAAGGAGTGATCAGAAGACCTTGACGGTGCTCGGCTAGCATTGCTGAATGTTTTGATCAAAGATTCTATAGAAGAATTCTGATCAAAATGGGGACAAATGTGAAACAGAATTTCAAATTCTTGTAAAATCCAAATTTTTAGATCCATTAAGGCTGGATGAACCCCCAAAACTATTGCCCTGAGATAATTTTTAAACCTTAAACCAAAAATACCACCTTAAGTCTTCTTTTAACAGAACAATACTTATCTTAATTAGTAAAGAATATCTGTTTTAGCATTGTCTCTTTTAAAGAACTATCTATATGGGATCAAACCGACAATAGCAACTTGAAAGTTTAGCTAGGAAGCTTAGGGGCAGTGAGTTTGTGTTAACAGTGAAGGAATAATTCAGAAAAGCAGGGTGAGAATGTTTGCACAACTTGAAGAATACAATCAAAGTCACCAAATTGCGCATGTCTACATTTGTTGAATTCGTGTATGTTTTTCTGTGTGTATTTCCAACAATAACAAACATAAAATTTGAAAAAAGAAAGGAATAATAATTCTCTTCTAAGGAATGATAATAATGGAGGATTAATTTAGGGGTCAGAGGTGACTGTGCAGAAGAAAGAAAGGATTCATTACCTTAGTTGGAAAAAAGAAAAGAAAAAAGTATTCAAACAGCAGCTCTACAGCAAGAAAATAAGAAATATTGTTGTTCTGGAGAGATCCTGTAGGCTGTGAGAAATAATTAGATACGAAAAAACTTACATGAGCTCTTGATGTCATCTAAGCCATACATTTCAGTGGAATTTTTATTTTTGGTACCCAAGTTGGCCGTGGTTGCTACTGTGACTACTGGAGCCTCTTTCCTCTAAGCTTCTATTCCCTCGTGCCTTCATAGGCATTCCCAGTCATGATGCAAACATTAGTCTCTGATATCTCCAATTAAGGACAGGTTACAAAGACCAACCCAGGATCAGGAGCCTCCTGAGATATCCACCCACTTGAGAGCAAAATTTTTCCTGGAGACTTGTGTAAACAGGTCACTGTCTCTGCCTTGATATTTGCAAGAGCAGAAGTCCAGATTCTACTCCACAACCTAGAGCTCCAGAAATAGAGAAGGAGTTTCTCCAGCATGATGCTTTCCTGGATGTGGACTTCAGGTCAACGACCTGGGAATGAAGCTGTTCTGTATCCACACATTTGGGACTTCATTGGTCCATTCCTTGGAAACAAGTAAGTATTAGGAAAATCGAAAATCATAGCCAGTTAGAGTTTGAAGTGATTCTAGAAGATCTCATGATTTTATTTTACAAATGAGGAAAATGAAAGTTAAGTGGCTAGAGCTAGGACACCCTGTTAGCTTGTTGTCCCCTCACTCCTAGTCCATTGCTCTTTCCGGTCTAACTCGCTGCTCTCTCTCACACAGATTTACATGCTCATTGCTATCACAAGTCCTCATATAAATGGTTGAAATGAAAGAAGACTTTATTCAAAGGCATGAAGACAGTGCCTCCTAATTGCACTCAATTTAGAAAGTGCTATGAGAGTAGTAGGGTAAATATCATACCTCCCTCTCTGAATTTTAGAAGTTATAACACTGCCAAAATCTATTAGGGATCTCAATTTTTGAGTCATTTTCTTTGGTAACATCAAAGCTTGGACTTTCAATTTTACTGGATAAATATCCTGCAGTAACCAGGAAGGGATGGCTCAGATTGCCTGATTTAAAACATGATTATTGTTTTATACTTTTCAGATAACTTTCATATTCTTTATCACTTCAGAGCATGACAGTACCTTACCAAGGAGTTGGAGAAAGTATTTTGTTTTGTGAATTAAGGATATGAGATCAGCGGTAGGCCTATATCCAGCTGGTTATCAATAAATTAGTATTAAAATTGGTCTTGTGCTTTGTAGTGCTATCCTATCATCTCTACGCTCTGAGTTCCTGGATTTAAAGGAGTCTTTTCGTGTCCCTATACATGCAGAAGTATAGATAAAGAAGTTGGTCAATACTTTGACCACTCTTGGTGTATCAGCATGATACAGAAATTAACTTTTTTTAAAGAAATGTAAACAGACAAACTTGTTTATGTGTTTGGACCCAATCTGGAAATTCTAACAAACATAGACTTCTAACAATTGACGAGACAGGAAGTAACTTCATGGTCTGGGAAATTTTTGACATTCCCATGATGATATTATAATACTTTAGAGATACTTTTATTATAGCACTTATCACTTTTTGGGGAATGGTTTGAAGAACTGGCTTTCTCTACTCTTATTAAAGAGTCAGGAATTATGAAATTCATTTTGTAATATAAGGTCTTGATACAGAGTTGACATATTTGCAGAGGAAAACAAGAAAAAGGAAGGGAACTAGCAGTGAATACATTCTGTATGCCAGGCATTGTGGTAGTAGGATTATTAGATGTTTTACTTTTTCCAATATCTTAATTTAATCTTTAGCACCCTGTGAAATAGGCACACAGATATTATATGAACTTGATATTTTACAAAGAATGAAACTGAGATTCAAGGAGTGAACATAGTATCTCATCTAAGTTGCTATTCAGTGAGTGACATTTATTTGCATAATTGGAAAAAGTATATCCTTGTGTTATACTTGGTCAAATGGTCACCTTATTATTTTCTTCTAAATGGCTATATTATATCTATAATCTGACACATTATTTCCTCCAACTCTTTCTCTTAGGGTTCAATCCTGTCTGTTTTATTTCTACCAATTACTGTTGCATGTTAGCCCCTAATTGAGTTTTGGATTGTGCGATGAATCTTACTAATAAATAGCATCTGTCTGTCTGTATTTTCCTGCTTATACCATAGGGCTTATCAGCTCATGCCTTTATCCACAGAGTTCCCTCTGCCTGGTATAATGGTAATAATAGCAGTAGCAGTAATAATAATAACAGCTTACACTATTGAGTACTTGCTGTTGAGTATTGCTTTGAGTATTGCATTCCTCCATCTTAAAGGTTAAAATTATTATCATTCCTATTTGAAAGATGAGGAAACACAGAAAGGTTAATTAACTTACCCACTATTTTGAGATAAGTGCTTACGATTATGAATTTTAGAACATGCTTCAAGGGTTCAAATCCCAGTTCTACCAACAGCTTTGTTAGATGAGGAAGTAATTTACCTCTTTAAACCTCAGTTCTCTCCTAAGCAAAATGGGGATAATAATAGCACCTGCCTCATAGAATTGCTAAATGTATTTATGAGTTACTATACATGAACAACTTAGAACAGTTTTCCAGCACATAGTAAGTACTTTATAAAATATTGGCTATTATAACTAATCATCATCATTACTATTTCTTCAGTCTCCAAACCACAGCTCAGAAGATATCATTTCCAGAAAGTCTTCCTGTGCCCCTAAATTAGGCTAAAACTTCATCCTTTCTGCTCAAAGTACCATGGGCACTGCTTTATTGTGGCAATACATTATGATTAACATAATTGTTTGTACATAGGTTTTCCCAACTAGGCTATCCTGAAAAACAAGGGTCATATTATTTCCTGCCTTGAATATGAAGGATTGTTAACCAAGGAGAAATGAAAGTTTCAACGTTCAAGGACAAGGAGTTAGTTGAGATGGCCTCTCATGCTCTAATCACGACTGCCACAATAAGTCATCAGCTGAGCGGCCCCTGAAGGTAAGCACAACAGATACATGCTGTGACATGGCAGGAGGTCTGTGCTTGGTTGGGGACACAAAGTCTCTAAAACACCAGTTCTCAACTAGTCAACTCCAACTTATGGCAACCTCAAGTGTGTCAGAATAGATCTGTGCTCCACAGGCTTTTCAATGGCTGAGTTTTCAGATGTAGATCTCCAGGCCTTTATTTCCGGGTGCCTCCGTGTAGACTCAAACCTCCAACCTTACATTTAACAGCCAAGCATGTTAACTGTTTACACCACAAACAGTTTCCCGTGCTAGTCTCTAGGGAAGCATAATAGCAACTCTTCTGCCTCCCCATCCTCATAAATAAAACATAGGTAATACTGGGAGAGGAAAATATAAGCCTTTGACAAAAATAAAGATAATATTGGGGAGAGAAAATATCTAACATTTTACCTCTACCTTTTGCAAAGCTACTCGTTTAGTGCTGAAAAAACACAACACACCACTAAGGGTGTGCAAGAGACTGCTAAGCTCCCTTCAGGGCCCAATGGTTGAAATGAAGCACCCAATTAAAGGCCTTCATGGATCAGAGAGAAAAGTGTGGGTGTCCCTAATGCAGGGTGACAAGTCATTGTGTAACTTTAGCTATCATGCACAAGGTGGTGAGGGGCCCTAATAGATGGGAAATGTGTTTAACAGGGCTAGTCAGCATTATATACCAGTGACTGGCCAAATGTTTCTGATACTTTACTTTCTGTTGATTAAGCTTTCAATGTATTAACAAGAAATACAATATATCAACCGATAAGAATGCTTGCAAGACATGGTGAGTAGTGAAAAAGAGTCCTTCTGGTGTAGTGTAATATGTACTCGCAAGTATGTCATACACCAAACAAGGTGGAACACGCCCACAAAGTCATAATCTGGATCCCTGTGGCAACCACGGTCAGCAGAGACATTCTAGAGCCTTTCCATGCCACTTCCAGATGAATAACCTCACTCACCCCACCCCGCCCAGAATTCGGTCCAGCTTCTTACACACAGGATCCTGCTCTGGACAGGAAGCTGTTACATGTGAGCAAGAGACTCTGGCCACACTTCATTCTCGTAGTAGTGCCCAAATAGCATTATCTCGTGTTTTCTCATCTTGCCATAGGTGCCTCACATGATGATTCACCAATGACTTTGATGGAGAACATCTCAGAGGTGACTGAATTCATTCTTGTGGGGCTAACAGATGCCCTAGAGCTGCAGGTCCCTTTATTTTTAATCTTCACTCTCATTTACCTCATCACTCTGCTTGGAAACCTGGGGATGATTGTGCTGATTCTGTTAGACTTTCATCTCCACACCCCCATGTACTTTTTCCTCAGTAACCTCTCCCTGGTGGACTGTGTTTATGCCTCGGCGGTCACTCCCAAGGTGATGATAGGGTTACTCACAGGAGATAAAATCATCTCCTACAGTATGTGTGCTGCCCAGATGTTCTTCTTTGTAGCCTTGGCCATTATTGAAAATTTTCTCCTGGCCTGGATGGCCTTTGACCGCCACGCAGCAGTGTGTAAGCCCCTGCATTACACCACCACCATGACAAGTACTGTGTGTGCTCTACTGGTCACCGGCTCCTACATCTGTGGACTCTTGCAATCTTCCATTCATGTTGCCTTGACTTTCCACCTCTCCTTCTGTCATTCCAATGTGGTTAATCACTTTTTCTGTGACATTCCCCCACTGCTGGCTCTGTCTTGCTCAGATATCAACACAAATCAGATTGTGATCTTCACCTTGACAGCTTGCAATGTCTTTTTTACTCTTCTGGTTATCTTGAACTCTTACCTGTTCATTTTTATTGCTATCCTGAGAATGCACTCAGCTGAGGGACGAAAGAAGGCCTTTTCTACCTGTGCTTCCCACCTCACCGCTGTTTCCATCTTCTATGGGACAACCATCTTCATGTACTTACAGCCAACTTCCAGTCATTCCATGGACACAGACAAAATGGCATCCGTGTTCTACACCATGATCATCCCCATGCTGAACCCTCTGGTCTACAGCCTGAGGAACAAGGATGTCAAGAGTGCTTTCAAGAAGGTTGTTGAGAATGCAAAATTGTCCCTAGGCTTAAATTTTTAATATTGTAGAATCCACAACAACCCAGTTTATCCCCTCAGATATTCTCTGTGCAATGGCTCCACTTCAAGGCCTTCAGTGCACTTAATTCCTAAGGCGATACACTTGCCTCCTCAAACGTATATTGTCCAACGGAGAAAGCCAGCACAACTTGTTCAGGGTAAGATCATGGAAGCTCCGTGGACAAATCCAAACTCCCTGAGGGACTGACTTACTGGGCTGAGGACTGTGGGGACCATGGTCTCAGGGAACATTTAGCTCAATTGGCATAACATAGTTTATAAAAGAAAATGTTCTACATTCTACTTTGGTGAGTAGCTTCTAGGGTGCCAAAAGCCTGTGAGCAGCCATCTAATATACTCCACTGGTCTCATCCTTTCAGGAGCATGTGAAAATGAAGAAACTAAAGACACAAGAGAAAGATTAGTCCAAAGGACTAATAGACCACAACTGCCACAGCCTCCACCAGACTGAGTCCAGTACAACTACATGGTGCCTGGTTACCACCCCTGACTGCTCTGACAAGGATCACAATAGTGGGTCCTGGAGAGAGCTGGACAAAAATGTAGAACAAAATTCTAACTCAAAAAAAGATCAGACTTACTGGACTGACAGAGACTGGAGAAACCCAAGAGTATGGCCCCTGGACACCCTTTTAGCTCAGTAATGAAGTCACTCCTGAGTGTCACCTTTCAGACAAAGATTAGACTGGCCCATAGGACAAAATGAGGTTAAAGGGGCAAACCAGCCCAGGGCAAGGAATGGAAAACAGGAGGGGACAGGAAAGCTAATAATAGGGTACCCAAGGTCGAGAAGGGAGAGGGTTGACATGTCATGGGATTGTTAACCAATGTCTTAAAACAATATGTGTACTGTTAAATGAGAAGCTAGTTTGTTCTGTCAACCTTCATTTAAAGTACAATTTAAAAAAGTCTATTGTCTATAAAAAGAAAATATTATGTTCTGAAATGTAATACGTAAATGATAATGTCTCAGGAGAACTTTGAATATTTGAGTTTTGCTTTTCAAGAACATTTTAATGGCATTTGACTTATTCACATGTTCTCTAACACATGCTACTTCAAGCATATATGTCAAACCAGCCACACACAAGTCCATGAATAGAAGCATATGCAAGGACCCTACAGTGCACTTAAACGCAGCAATGAGAATTTGCTAAATGAGGTTAGTGGAATGCAAGTTTTTAATAAAAGAAATTAAAATAACTGATCGACGTATCAGAATACAAATTCATGTCTAACCTTTTTTGTTTCTCTAATCAAAAAACTATTCTGAGTCCAAAATGAAGAAAATGATGCTATGAATTTTTTAATGAAGGCATTTGCTTTCTGTTGCTGTAATTCACTGAGAGCTATATAAGTATAGCTTCTTAAAGGAACTAATGGAGGACAGAATCAGCAAAATTGAAGACAAACATTAGGATACAATTCTGTTGGAGTAAAAATCAGAAAAAAGGACGAAGAAACCCTGAGAATTATGTGGGATACAATCAAAAGTAAAAATTTCCCAGTGATCGGAGTTCTAGAACAGGGGGAGAAAACAGAAAACACAATGAGGATCATTGAAGAATTGTTGACAAAAACGTCCCTAATATCATGAAAGATGAAAAGCTGACCATCCAAGAAGCTCATCGAACCCCATATAGGATAGACTCTAAAAGAAAATCACCAAAGCATATCATAATCACACTCCCTAAAACCAAAGACAAAGAAGGAATCCTGAGATCAGCTCAAGAAAAATGAAAAGTCATATACAGAGAGGAAACAATAAGACTAAGCTCTGACTATTTGGCAGAAACCATGCAGGAAAGAAGGCAATGAGATGACATACATAAAACCTTGAAAGAAAAAAATTGCCAATCAAGAATAATACATCCTGTAAAACTCTCATTCAAATATGATGGTGAAATTGAGACATTTCCAGATAAACAGAAATTAAGGGACTATGTAAAAACCAAATCAAACTTATAAGAATTACTAAAGGCAGACCTTCGGTTTGAGAACAAAAAACATCAGAACACAGCCTGAATCTAGGAAACAAGATCATGCCAGCCAGATCCCAACCTAGGAAATTTACTCTCAAGGACTATTAACAACCAAAAGAACTACAACAGGGAACCAGAGAGGTTAATCTGTAAATAACAATAACGTCAGAACAATAAAAGAGGGAATAAATGGAGTAGGTATAGAACTTTCTAATGGAGAGGAAAGCAAGTTTATATCAAGTAATAATAGACTGGTTCAAACCTAGGAAGATAAGGGTAAATTTCAAGGTAACCACAAAGAAAGTTAACAAACCTACCCATCAAAATAAAGAACAAAAACATAAAGTCTCAGTAAAAACAAAGTTTACAAAAACAAAAGAAATGAAAAAAATCCACAAACAAAAGGAATTCAGCACAGGAGAGTAAGAGGAACAAAGAAAATGTCAACACAACCAAAAAAAAGCCACTAAAAAATGACAGCAATAAACTCACACCTACCAATAATTACACCAAATGTAAATGGCATAAATGCACCCATAAAGACACAGAGAGTGACAGAATGGATTTTAAAAAAAAATTCATCAATATGCTGTCTACAAGAGATACACCTTAGAAACAAAGATGTAAATTTATTAAAAAATCAAAAAATAGACAAAAATATATCAAGCAAACAGCTACCAAAAAGAGCAGGAGTGGTGTCATGGATTAAATTGTGTCCCCTCAAAATATCTGTCAACTTGGCTAGGTCATGATTCCCAGTATTGTATGATTGTGTAATCTGGATTTCCTTATGTGTTGTAAACTATATCATTATGATGAGGTTATATGTGATCTCCTTATGTGTTGTAAACTCTATCACTATGATGAGGTTATACTGATGA